CGGTCAACATGCTGAGACCACTTAAAGAAAATAAGTGGTGTGTCGAAATGAACCAGGTCGCATGTTGCCCTTCTCGATCAGCCGATGTTCCGCTATTGTATCTCAAGCGAGGGCGGGTGTGGAGAGGATTCGCTTGTGCCATGGTCTGAGGAAAAGGGGCTGCGACAGGTGAGTGGGTCCTTGGCTAAGGACAACCGGATTTCGTGGGTGAGGACACCCTTCATTGATACCTTGGTGTGGTCACCATTTGTTGTTGGATTGGACATTGAGCATTGTCTTTCCTTTGGAGTGGTCTCCAACCAGTTTTGGTCGAACCTCGTGGGCAAGGAAGCTACCAATCCTTTTGTGAACTTATTTAGTTGTTTATTTACTTATTTATGAACAGAAAGTAGCAACGCTCCTATTTACTTGAGCCAAAAGTAACCAGGGTACCACTCATGTTTATGAGGGTCTGAAACTCAAATCACCCCACCTGGACACGAGGTGACTTAAGCTTGTGTCCACTTTGAGAACACTTTTGCTCACTGTACAGACAATCACGTGACAGCTTTCGCTATCGAAGATCGTCCTGAAAGTGCCTCAAAACCCATCGCCTTTAAATGGCGTTCTACTGCCTCACTAGCTAGTGCCTTTGTACAAATTTCAGCAGTATTCAGCTTCGCGTCGATCTTGAACAGTTCGAACACCTTCTCTGCCAACTTCTCTTGAATCCAAAGAAATCGAGTCTGGACATGTCTCGACTTTCCGAGTCCAAGGCGGTTGCATGTTCCAAGTGCTGCTGACGAGTCGGTGTAGACGTGGAGCTTTGTGTTGATGCCCCAACTCCTGAACAACTCCTGGGTTGCCATGCCAGAAGCTACAGCTTTCACCAACGCGTAAAATTCGCTCTCATCTGAAGACAAGCGAACCGTGGACTGGAGGTTGCTTGAGTGGCGAAGTGAATGTCGCCCGTAGTAACATACCAGGCCCGTTGTACTCTTGCGAGTCAAGAGATCTCCGGCAAAGTCGGAATCCGCATGAACTGAAACGACATCGCTGAACTTTTGCGGAGTGAACTTTTGTACCATGCGCATTGTTCCTTTCAAATATCTGGCAAGACGTTTGAGGTCTCCGAAATCAGCTTCGGTTGGACCTTGCATTTTCCTTGCCAAACATTTGACCGTCTCCGACAAATCAGGGCGGTCCTGAGCTAGGAACGCTGCACGCATTGTGAGAGAACGGTATTGGCTGATCCGGTGAGGATCAACAACATCAAGTTCCATCCTCTTCGCCAATGCTTCTGCTGTCAACTTTTCGTTTGGGCTCTTCACTGGTTTGCATGTCTCCATGTTGAGGTCCTTCAGCAAGATCTCTGCATGGCGTGGATCTGGCTCGTAGAAGATGGTTCCTGACCTCTCGTCGAAGCGTACGAGACGGTTCAGGATGCAAAACTCCTGCTTAGCTTCTCCAACACCTATGCTTCCGTCAACACGGAGATCATATGCTTCTCTTAATGCCTTTTCGACATGTTGCTGCGCTGCGTCGTCGCCCAAGATGACAAAATCGTCACCGTGGACTAACAGCCTTGCCTCCAGCTTCTCATGAAAGAAGATGGCTGGCCAAGCAGCAGATCTTTTGAATCCGGCTCGATTCAAAACATCGGTGTAGGATTGCTGCCAAATGTTGGCTGCATCGCGTGTGCCATACATGCTTTTCAACAACAGTCCTACCTTGCCTTCTTCTTGATCACCTTCGGGGAGGGTGACAAAGACTTCACGCTGTGCTTGACCGTTAAAAATGGGCTCTGCTGATGTCAATCAGCCGAACCTTCAACGGCTTGCGGTTACGCTTGGAAACCTTCAGCGTGACCATCAAAGAAAGCAAAATCTTCAAAGCTTCCAGAGGTGGCATTGCACTGAAGCTTGCGTACTCTGGAATGTACTCTGCATTGTGGGCTCTCTTGATCTCACGACAAACAAGGCGAGATCTGTAATTGGGTCTTTCATTGTCGCCCTTGTTGCGGTCAACCCACTTCATTGTGATTGGAACTTTTCCAACCTTTCGAGCATCTTCTGCATCCACTTTCTTGTAGGTGCACTGGCGTTGAACCCAGTCCAACTCCTCCTTCCTAGCGGCGGCCACTTTCTCCAAGTCCAACTCTGCACCAGTGTTGGTGTCGTAGACTGGTCCGGTGATTGTCACGTCAGCGGAAGGAAGATGGTCAAAGACCTCTTGCTCTTCATCTATGACTGGAGCGGCATCTGGTACCGGTCCAGCACCCAGCGAGTTCAAAGCTTGGCTGAACTCACCATCTTCAGCAAGTTGGTTTCTCAACGCCTCAAGAATCCCTCGAACCAACAGTGGCGGGTAGACCTGTGCCGATCTTGCTCGACCGTTGATGAGGTTGACGTGTCGGTGCCAAGTCTTGCCTTGGCTATTGGAGCATACGCCAGATAGCGTCCTCGCCAAATGCGGCGAGTTGGTCAGCCACCTGGTTTCTTTCTTCACTAGGCCCTTGCCCCACACGTCTTCTGATTCCATTTTCCACCTACACATAGGCCCAACAACTTCGTAAACACGTGGATCGTTTCGAAGTTCTTTGACCACTGGCTCTTCCCAGCTGCGTGCTCCTTTCGGATGCTCATGCAAAAAGTAGCAGCCTGCGTCCATCTGTGCACGGTAGGCGCGCACTGAAGTTCGCAGATGCTTCTTACCTTCTTGCAACCTTTGTGACCTGACCGACTGAGGAACATGATTCCGAATGTCGACCAAGTTCTGGAGCTGTGAGAATGGTCCACAAGGAGGTGAACCACCTAAAAGCTTGGGTTTCTCTTTCTCAGGCAGTGAAAACAAATCCGCAGTGTGTGAATCTTTGTTCAAATCCCAATGACTTCCGTCTTCTCGCTTGGTCTCAAGGTCGATTGCAAATCCAGGGCGCAATCCAACCAACTGGGCTTGTGCTGAAACTCTTGGCGGTGAAAAGATCTCTGAAACAGTCTTCTGTACATTGCCCTTCTTGCGGGCGTCTCTCAAAACAGAACAAAGACAAACTGAAAGATGTCCTAGGTCCATGGTGCCGCTGCCTCCAGATGAAACGTCTGGAGCTGCGACTGGAACTCTTGGTGGCTGAGGATCTGTGCTCCCAGCCGATGGGAGTGGTCCCATTACCACTGCCCCTTCATCATCTACAACTGCGCCTGCAGTTGCTTCATCCTGCATCTGGTGATGCAGCTCTTCGATGTCTGCCTCTGAACTTCGCTTAGTCCGCTGTCCGCCGGACCTCTGTTTCTTCTTTGGGCTTCCGGGATCTTCTCCTCGGTCTTCGAGTTCGCGGCGCGCAACTCGTTCAAGTGGTTCTCCAACAGCTTCTCCCGAGGCCATTTCGGCATCAGGCTCCGGAACACCTACCAACGCGGGAACGCTGGCAGCTTCCACAACCTCTGGCTCGCCAGCCCCACCTCCAACTCTTGGAGCCTTAGGGCGTCGCCCGGCATCGATCCGAGCTTTTGCAGCTTCAATCCTCTGCTTCCCTTCTTCGGTCTTCATGAGCTCGCTCTCAATCCTAAACCTGCACTCTGGGTTATGGGCTCTACGACCCGTACCCATCAACTGTGCCTCACAACCTGGACACAGTGGGGTGTATCCGAACTTGTCGATGTCGCTCTTCGTCCTTGGAATCACCTCCTCAACTGGTGGCCTTGTCATTGGCCCTGCAACGACTGGCAGGTCAACTCGAACCTCGCCAGGCTCACGAGCCTGGAGTCTCCAGGGAACTCCCCGGAGTTCACTCCAGTCCTCGTACTTGAACTGATCTTCAGGAGGTCTTCGAGTGATAGTGTTACCTTTCACTATTCCCCTCGCGGTCATGACGAAGACGTCGTTGTTGCGCAACCCTGTGCCAACATATACATCCCCATTGAAACTCTTGGTGCAAGATCATGTCGTCGACCATCGCGAAGTGGCCTTGGCCTGAACAAGATGTGTTCGCCGAAGCTCACTAAAGGAGTGGCGTCTTGGCGTGTCCCTCCAAATTGAGGTCTGAAGGGATTGCGGTGGCTGCAGCTCCCGTGTCCAAGTTCACCACGATCCGCTTCCAGCCATCGCGCTCCTCAACGACATGCGGCTCTCCGAACGACGCGTTCGGAGGTGCCGAGAACGAACTGAGCGCGGAGTTCGATCGCTCTTCATCCGTCTCATTTGGCTCTGAACCCGAATCGTGGACTTCGGGCGCCTCCTCTTCTTCTTCATCCTCATGCCAGTTGTTGTACTGGTCATCCCAGTTGTGGCGTCGCTGCCGCGTGCGCTCGGCCTCATGCTTCGCCTGACGCTTGCGCTCCTTGCGTGATTCGCGCTTGCGCTTGTAGTAGTCCTTTCCGCGGATGCGAGGCTCGGCTGCCTTGCGGGTCGTTGACCGCTCAAGCACTGCCTTCTCGTCATCCGGGAACTGCTGGAAGGATTCGCGTTCCTTCCGGCTCAAAGGCACGGCCTCATCTCGCCGTTCGATCGGCTTCGACTTGTCCTTGCGATCGTCCACAACCTCGGTCTCCACATCGGCGGTGATGCCATCGAGATCCTTGCGCTTCTTGCCAGTTCCTGGTGCGTTGCGCTTGGAGTGCCACTTGTCGTCAAGTTCAAGCTTCTCTGACACTCGATCCACCAAACCGCTTCGCCGGTCCAAGATCGCCCGACGGCGGCTTTTCTCGTTCTTCCAGGCAAGGTGATGCGGCTTGCCAGCTGCCACATCAGCATAGTACCTGGAGTCGTGGAAGCTCTGGTCGCACATGTTGTCCTCGGTGATCTTGATCGACTGGCGAGGCGTGTCACGCTGGAGCTCCTTCTTCTGCTTCTCCAGCTCGGCCTTCTTGTCCGGGTCCTCCTCGGTCTCGATCTCTGAGGAGAGGTTCGATGTAAGTGCGGATCGTTCGATGGCATTGCCTTCACCTTAGGCTTCTTCTCCTTCTTCTCGGACTCCTCGCGCTCGCGTTTGTTCGCTTCGCGCTCTTCCGGGGATTCCATCGCCTTCACCCCAGGAGGATACGCCGGCTCGCGAGGGCGGCGTCTGGCTTCTTCGGAGAGGTTCCGTCCGAAGCCTTCTGAGGACCTCCGTCCGAAGCGGTCGGAGTCTCCTCGCTCCTCGTGGCCTTCTGCTTGATGAAGTCACCAACGCTTCCCTTTGGCGTTTTCCGCTCCGGCTTCGTGGAGCGTGCTCGCCTCGGCGGTGCCGACTTGGGATACGTGGTCTTGTCTGCAAGCTTGAGGAATTCCTTCCTGCTCTCAGTGGTGCTTGCGCTGCGCTCGCGATGCCTGCTTTTGCTCCTGTCGCGGCGCTTGTTCTCGCGGATGATGCGCCCCTCCTCCTCATCAGTGGATTCGCGCTTGACCTTCTTGGGTGACCGTCCGCGTTTCGGCGAACGCGAACGCCCACGGGTCTCCTTCTCTTCCTGGCGCTTGAGCTGATCACGCAGCTTATAGTTCTCCTCGATCAGTCGCATCATCACGTCGACTGACCGATCCCCAGAGGATCCAGCTCCGGAGTCAGCAACCGAGGATTTGCCTTGGCCTTCGGCCACCGTGCGGCCGAAGTCTGCGGACGTGACTCGCTTCATGGCGGCCGCAAGGTCCATGCCGAGGTGAACCTTGTCGTAGGAAGGCTTCTTTTGAGCCTCCTTCGACTCCTCTTTCTTTGAAGCTGGTCGCTTGCTACCCATATTGGATCGGGTGCGATGGAGTGCTCCCAACACCAACGAATTGCCTTCTGGGTTTGAGCCCGGGTCTTCGGTCCAGTCGCCGTACCAACCCGAGTCCCCTTCGTCCCAACCGGCGGCGTCCCACGATCCAGCCTGCTCCTCACCTTCTGGTTCCTTCTCAGCCTCGACACTTCCTATGGCTTTTCCTCCTTTGCCTTTTCCTTTTCCGCTTCCTTTCTTTCCTCCTTTCTTGCCTCCTCCTTTGCTGCCTCCTTTACCTTTCGGGGAACCTTTTGAGCCTTTTGGTCCGGAGGGCGGACTGCCCTTCGGTCCTTTACCTTTTGAAGTCCCTTTGGAATTCGCCTTGCCTCCACCGGGGGCCCAACACTCGGATTTGAAGTGTCCGAGCTTACTACAATTGTGGCAGGTGGCACTCTTCTTCTTGTCTCCGCCTGCAAGTGCACCTATGTCCATGGGCTGTGGCCCATTGTAGTCCGAACTGGAATGACCGCCACCGGACTTGAGCTTCAGTCCAATGCGCGTCTCCAAATACGTGGAGAGTTCCTTCCGGACTTCAAGATAGTCTGCAAAGCGTGCTTGGTTGAGTTGAAGATGTCGTTCAACCTCAACCGGACAAATAGACTCCAAGATGGAGATCTTAATGTCCTCATCCAAAGTTGGTCTCGAGCCATCAGCCTTTCGCCGATTCTCGTATTGTCGAACCTGGTCTTCCCAGTTCTCGACAGCTGCGCTCAACTCCTCAACCTTGTTGCAACGGTTCGGACTCAGCACCGAACGAAGCAGTGCCCTCCGACGACCTCCAGTCGAAGGATCGAACCGCTTGCACAGTCGCCTCCAAGCCTCTAAGCCTTTACCTTTGCCTGCGCTTCTCACGAGCGTGAACGCCTCTTTCTCGCAAAGGGTCTGGAGAACAGCGTAAAGTTGTGCATCTTTTGATTCCAGGTCTGGTATTGTCTCCTGTGCCGGAGTAGTCTCACCAAACTCGGCATTCATGGATGCGTTGCTGATTGGATCTGTTTCGTCTTCTGCCCAAGCCATCGCTTGGCCGAAGTCACCGTGAACGGACTCAACAAAAGCTTCCAACCGGATCTTCCATTGGAGGAAATCCGAGTTACCATCAAAGTTGCTTGGCTTTGCCAAACCGCGGTTGTCCACCAGAGTCAACTTCTTATCTGGCTTCTTGGACGCTTCCAGGATGGCCTTCTGCGTGTTGACCATCTCCTGCAAAGCTGCCTGCATAGCCCCTGTGCTCTGAACCGCTTGAAGCCTGTTGTTCAAGTCCTCTTCTCTCCTTCGACTCTCATTCAACTCATTCCTCAAGGTCACCAGCTGGGCCGCGATCTGCTCGAGGGTGGCCATTACTGATCAGCTGCTCCGGTCGAGTCAACCGAGAATTCAACAGCCGTTGCCTGAATGCCTGACTGGCAATCAGGTCTTGGAGATGATGTCCCAGGTATCCGAAGATGCGTTGAAGCCTCCGAATCCTGAACAGCCGGTTAATCAACCGACGCCACAACCTCAGTACCCTCACAGCAGCCTGATCCCTTCGCTGGCACAACCGAGTCCGAAGGGTTTCCCAAAGGGTGAACATCTACCGGAGTCGCACCGAGCGCTCCGCTACCATGAACAGAAAGTAGCAACGCTCCTATTTACTTGAGCCAAAAGTAACCAGGGTACCACTCATGTTTATGAGGGTCTGAAACTCAAATCAGTTTATTTATTTACAGTATATATTTATGTATTTATGTGTGTGTGTGTATATGTGTATCATGTCATATTGATTCATATGTTGTTTGTGTGTGTGTGTATGTGGCGGAGTGACTCGTAGAATCTTTCGAGATTCGCCTCATCATCTGGGTGAGCAACAACCTCAAGCACACGTCTAAAGCAAAAACCATGACACTGCTTGCGTTGCTCAATGTCTACAAATCTCCAAAAATGCTTTCACAAGCTGAGGAGCCAGAGCGACATGCCTGTGCTTTGTGAGCAATCCAAAGAGTCCAGCACGTCGAACCAGAGACCTTTGGAAATAACGTTTTTCTCGTTTTTGTACCCACTTCTTGGTGAGTGAACCTAGGGCCCTGCACAGCAACAGCGACTAGAACCACTCCAGCTGCAACCTCGGTTGCGGCTCTTGGCTTCAGCTCCTCCTCGTTGCTGCTTCCACTTCCCCACTGAGATTGCAGCCCAAATCCTCATTGCATGCTCGCTTTTCGGAAGATTGTCGGACATCAAAAAAGGCATGACCGAGCACGGCTCAATTGAGACGCAGGAAATCTGACTGAGGCATCGACATGCAGTCGCACCTTGCCGGCTCATGTCATGCGACCTCCCCTGATCCGTAATGTCTGGAAAGCCAGAGGCAGTGGCATCTCTCAGGGACAACGGATGATGGCATGTTCTGCCTGGTTTGGGCCAACTATCAAAGCGGCGGGATCAGCCTTCACCAAGATTGACAATAATGATCACACCGTTCAAAACACATCCAGCAACTCTTTTGCATGCGCAGCGTTGCTTCACGAGTCTAGACATTCCAAGAGTTCCAAAGCTTTCAGCTTCAGCTCGATTCTTTGACTCGGGCGTTGAACAAAATCGCGGCCTGACTTGACATGTTTGTGACATATTGTACGACATGCTTTAAATGTTGGATGGTATGTTTATCACGTTTAGGTAAGGTTTAGGTGCAGCGAGGTTTCGTGCAAGGTTCATGTTTGGCTTGTTTAAGTGCTGTAAATGCTAAGTGTCCCAGCCCGAGGGCTCATCCCCCCTGCAGAACGACTTACCAGAGCTTTCTCTGCTCCAGCGCGGTTCAGCTGCGTCGACATTCTCTTAGTCCCCCATCGCAGCACTTCTATCCTCTCACGACATTGTGGCCCGGATCAACGGGATGTCCAAAAAGCAGCTGCAGCCAAAGGAGCAAACGAAAAATCGCCCGACTCAAGACAACCCAAGTGCAATCCAAGTCTCTGGTGCCCAATTCAATCCTCATCGTCATCCTCATCGTCACTCCCCATCAGTGCGGAGAACTTGTTCTTCCTTGGCGGCAAGTTCTTTTTTAAAAAGCCCGTTCTCATATTAGTAACAAGGACGCTACGATCGGGGCTCCTGGCCGCACTACTAGGAGCAAGGATGTTACTAGTAACAGCGATGGCCTCCAACCTAAGAGCGATTCTTCGGACTCCCAAGCCAGTGTCTCTGCAACAGAGAGGCGATGAGACCGCGGGCTTTCCCTCCTTCTTTTTTTCTTTCGTCTCCGGCTCCTGACAATAGCAAGACGCCAAAACTGAGTAGTAGCACCTGAGCTCAACCAATGCCCACATACTCAGGTGCCACCTGAAGCCAAGAACGTTCCTCGAAGTTCTCACTGAAAGCCACAATGAAGCTAGGACTTGCGACTCGGCATGCCAAACATGCCAAACACCAAGGGCGCCAGCTCGGGATCCGGGCCAACGCACTTTGGAAATAATTGAAAATGCAATGCACAATTATAGACGATCAGACCGGAGTTTTCTTCAGAATGCAAGTTAAGTTATGCAAATTTTAAACATAGCTATGTAACGTATTGATCAACAGCTCCGAGATTGCTTCCTTTGGAGCATCCACATTCCTGTTTCAATGTTACGACAGCTCACCAGGGTTGTGGGGTGTTCTTCATTCCTCTGAATCGTGCGTGTTCTGAACCTATGCAAGAGTTCATCAGTGTGGGATGAAAGCAAACGGACAGTGCGGCACTGTCCGGCACTCCTTCTTAACTGGCTCAGCTTTCGCTAGCTTGGCCTCAAGAAGGGCAGGTTTAAGATACCCCCTACAAGTTTTTGATAGTCACAATACGTCACCACAGTCCGGTGCTCAAAGCCAGGGTGCTGGAGCAGCTGGCGGTGCTTCCGGGACGGCCACTGGGGCTGCAGGAGGGGCACTCTCTGCCTGGCCATGTCCACAACTTCTTTGGAAAGTCTTCTTGGTTAGACGAGAGGATAGACTTGAATATATAGACATTGTGGTCGGGGTAGTACTGAAAGTGTTGTGGTTGTGCCACTGCATCTTGGTGTTGTCCCAGCCTTCCCCTTCTTTTTTCCCTTCTTCTTTGGCTCCTGCACTCTCATTGCACAGGACACCAACTGGTTTTGCATTCACAAGATCTTGCCCGCTATTCAATTGGCTTGGCAAGTTCATTTGATCGCACGCCACTGGTGTGCATTCTGCCCGATGTAGCCAGGCTGCCAGGCTCATTTGTACGTCACCGCACCTTCTCTTGCCCGAAAATAAGGTGTCTAGAGCCCTGTAGCTATACATCAACACGTGTGTGTGCAGCTTGCGGCTCCCCCAGTCTAGTTATATACCCTTCCAACAATCATGGAAGTGGACGATGACCCCAAGAACAAGACAATTTTCCTCTAGCAAGAGGGGGTTGTCCAATTCCATGTTTGCTGCAGGGAGGATAATCAATCTTGTACTCTGCTCGTCTCCGCTTCGAACTCCACTGCAGGTGCTGCTTCGTAGATCTGCTCCATCTCAGGCTCCTTTTTCGGCGCCACCTCCTCCTGCAGAAGTGTCAAGTGCCTCTGCACAGGCTTGTGCACTGCTTTCTCCCCAAACGGTACGCACGATCCTCTTCTTCTGAGTCAGAGCCTCAGTGCAGAAACGGTGGCTTCTGTAATACATGGTAGGAACGAAGGGAAGGAACGAAGAATGAATATAAGAAACAGGGAACACTGTCACAGAATAGTTGATTAGCAAGATGACAGCATCCAAGCCGAGTTTTTTGCCCCCAAGAGCTGCGAAGGCGTTCTTTGTGCCGGGCATGAGGCCTTTTCCTGAAGGCTCAAATGCGTTTCGAAAAAGCATACCGCAGGAAACGAAGGCGCGAAAATGTCAACGGATGTCCTGCCGCACCTACAATTCGAGGAGGCGCTCAGAAGACACCAGAGAACTTGAGCTGTATGGCAACGAAGTCGGCACAGGCTGCTGTTCTTGACCGTTCGATACCGTTTGCCATTCATACAGACCTATTCTACTTGCAACTTGCAAGGTGTTAATCACCGCACATCAGTTCCGGGGCCGGAAAAAAATAAAGTAAGGCGGTGACATATTTTTGGCAAGCCTGAAGCTCTGACAATTTCTTGAACAGAGTGTTGCACAGTCCCACAAGGAAGTCACAGGTTCTGAACGCAGGCAAGGAGCTTGTGTCCGTTAAGAACTGTTCCGTGAGCTGAACCCAAATCTTGAATGAAGGTGAAGCAGCCCTGGCGATTTACCTCACTGAAAGCAGGCAACTGAATCCAAACCGCAAAGCCACGAGCTATACATGGACAGCTCGCCTGGGCATGCTTTCGGGAGACAGTTTCATGACCTGCCACAAGGACCCCAACAAGCAGAGCATATGGATGAACAAAACTGCAATTGTCCAGATTGAATTTCAATGGCTCTGGCAGATTTACAGCACCAAATGCATCCCTGAGGTGGTGGCTGGCCCGGATGTCTACTGGCGGACATCTGCCAATTGTCCATGTCATTTGCGGAGGCGACAGCCGGAAACGTCCTCGGCATCGACATGTGAAAGGCATCCAACAGGCGGGTAGAAGTGCTGCAAGCTGAGGATCCTATCCGATCACCACCTTTAAAGACATCGAAGCAGGGCACATCAATCTGGTCGGATGGCTCCTTGCAACTTGGTCGGGTGAACTTCTTCAAAATAGAATGTCACGAAAAACTAAAGCCTCAGAAAGCAAAGCAAAGCGCAGTTCCAGAATGCGCTGGTTCTTTTGATTTTTGGCGTCAGCTTCACGTCTCAATCGTTCAGCCTCCGCCTGCTGACAAACCGATTCCAGTGACATCGTCGTGCCAATGGGCAGTGACGGACAAAATACATATATACAGGGGTACGAGTGATCTTCTTGTCACACACAGCAGTCTGCCTTCCGGCGCAATTCGGCTTCAGCTTTCTTGGTTTCTTCTTCAGCTTCCTGCTTTTTGCGCTCCAACAACGCTTGTCGCACCCGTTCCGCCTGCGCTACAGGCTGCAAATGTGAGTTCAACAGCTCAGGCACGCAAATCAGGCAAAGAGTGACGTGCCTCAAGCTGAATCTTGTCAGATTCCTCCTGAGTAAGCAAGTTGCTAAGCAAAATTAGTAAGAAATCTTCGGTTGGTGTGCCCTGCAGAACCCTGAGGCGATCTTGTAGGCTCCTTCTTCTGCTTTTCGCGTGACATGGCCATCTCAAACTCGGCCTCCTGAGCCACGTCTTAGCAAATAGAACCAAAAGACGACCAACAGTGATGTCAAAGCCTGTCCTTCCGTGCCATCGCTGTTCGAGCTTTCCAAAGGGCAATTTTTTCCTTGGCTGAAGAAGAGAAAGCAACT